AAAAACAAGAATATAAACACGCTATTATTAATTTTTTTAGACATATGTCAAAAGTAAGTTTTAAAAGTTTTATATCACAAATGATCTGATTAACTTTGTTTGTATGAATAATTTCTCCAGTCTTGTAAGTAGTAATAGTTTATCGATTGATTTATGCAAATTTCAATCAGACAAAATTTTTTTAATTTTTATGAATAATTTTTCTCAGTTCAGTTTGTGAGAACAAGTTTTACACAATACGAAAGCATGCATACATGGTTGTGCTCTCGTGAACGACCTCGAAAATTTTGCACTGATATTTTATCAAGAATGATAACGATCGTTCCCAGTATCTTTCATTTAACATTGTTTAGAATATTAACTTTTATTAATTGTAACTTTAATTAGAGGTCATTGCAAGTTTAAAGGTTATATTATATTCACTGTAATAATTCTTAAAAATCATTACGTGCCAAAAATTACAAATCGGCCTTCTGCGCGAGTTCGATTTTATCAAGTTTCAAAGTTTGTAAGAATTATTTTTTAGAAACATTACTTTATTTGCAGTTTTCTTTCTTCTAGAAGTTTATTTCTGAATCTGAAAATATTCCTCAAAATATATTCTAGCAGAATATGATCCATTTTTCGATACAAGCATCACAAAAATTATAATTTTCATAAGAGATGAAAATTTCAAAAAAATTTAAAAATTAGACTCTTACTTAATTTAATTAAAAATAATGAATATTTTTTAATGCACAAAACTCTCATAATTAATTACTAAATAAATATCCTCATTATTATTTTTGCAATGCGAAGTAAAATGTGCACTGTTTACTGAGCAGACTATTTTAGCAATTTCTAGAAGAATACAAATCCTTCCACAGTTCCAGTTATTCGCTATAATAATAATAACAATAATAGTAATAATATTCATACTTTAATGTTAATTTACATTTAATTGCGCATTACACAAAATTGATTTTTTCTGAGAGATCAAATCAGTGTAATATACTTTTTTATTTATCTTTGCGTGGAAAAGTTTATCATTTTGATTGCAATTAAAATTGCAATGCGTTTATTAGTTAAGTTCATAACTGTCATTAATTATTTAACTTTTTTTGTAAAGTTTGAAGGAAATAAATGGCTGCAACCGTACGTTCAGTACGTTTCAGCGAGAATTTACCAAAAGTTTCACATTCAACGTTAGAAAAGGTCATAGAATCTGGCGAAGAAAGGTCACAAGAACCAATTGGAGAACTTCCTCGAGTATACGATGATGCCTTATACTGTCCATATGATATTTACACTGCTGCCAGTTTAGGTGATACAGCAACAGTTGAAGTAATCTATCGCTTATTTATTTTAGTTGACAGAAATTTTTAAAGTTAAAAACTTCATAAAACATAATATTTGATAAATTGAAGAGCAATTTTTCAGTAAAGTAAAAAATAACTATGAAATAATTTAATAACACATTAAAATTTTAAATATATATGAATAATTCAGTATAGATAATTAATCTAGCAACTTTTTAAATTTTATAAGATTATGCTGATTTATGATTCAAAAAAGTTAAATATTCTGTCCATCTTTAAGTACTGCTAATCACAATAGCATTGGATTAGATCAAAACAAGTATTGATTACTTTGATGAGATATCATGCTAAAAATAATTCCAGGCTCAGCTTCAATCAGGTTTTGATGCGAATCGTTTGAATGGGAGTGGATGGAGCACATTAATGTATGCAGCTTATCTCGGCCACGACGGAGTCTGCACGTTGTTGCTAGAATCAGGTGCTTTGGCCGATCTAACAAATTCTCTTGGACAAACAGCTCTTATGTTAGCTGCTACTTGCGGAAATTTGTGTGCTGTAAGTGAATTTAAAATTTTTTATATGTAAATATTAAAAAAATAATAATTCAATTTTTTCGTGGGTGACTTGAAAGTAGAAGTGAATTTATCCAAAAAATTTAATCTGATCAGATAATCTATCACTTTATTGGAATTAAGATCTTCAGGTAAGGTTATTGATACGCAGAGGCGTAGTCATCGATAAGCAAGATAACGCAGGTGATACTGCTTTAGCCTACGCAACTTCATGCTCACAAACAGCTGTTGTAGAAGCTTTACTTGATGAAGGAGCAAATCCAAATTTGCCTAACGTACAAGGCATGACCCCTACGTTGACTGCGTGCAGTATAGGACATGAACTCACGTTGCTGGCATTGTTACAAAATGTAACATCTTTTAACTTATTAATTTGAGATTAATAAAAGTTCATATTTTAGTTTGAAAATCTCCATCTCATTTATGTAAAATTCGCAAGCTCTGTTTCAAATTTGAATCAAAAATGTAATTTAGTCTAGGATTTTAAAGTGAAATGAATAGAGTTGCAATAATAACTTATTATAATTACATAAAAAATTTACTTTCAATTAATTAAATTAATTTTGTCTTTTGCTGAATTGCTTCTTCATTTCTGCTGAGGTATTCTAATCAAAATTGAAATTTGAATTTAAATACGTTTTAATGTGACGATAGATTAGAATGCAAATAAAAAGCACAATTATAAAATTATATCTATTTTGTTTATTTGATTGTGCTTTTTCAATGTACCATATCTTGCTGAGATTAATATCATTCTTCAAAAAAAAAAATCAGTTTTTAATTAAAAGTTTTGACTTATCACATATATGTCTGTGAATTAACAGTAGTGGTGTGATTAGTAAGACGTTTGAGATTAATTAATATTTATTTTAGTTCAAATAAATAGAATATATAAAAAATAATTAGATAAAATGTATATTAAATAAAAATTAATGCTATAAAGATAATGTATCTATGAAAAGTTAATTTAGGATGGTGACCCCAAATTGAACAATGCAAAAGGTGAAAATGGTGAAGCTTTAGCATGTGATAATCCCAAAGCAATTGCCATATTAAGGAATCCACCATTGGTATTTGTTCACTAATCAAAGCGTTAAAAAAAAGCTTCAATTTAAACTTAGATCAAATCTATCAAGCATTTTTGACAATAAAATTTGCATAATTGTTTTTTCTTCAGAGTAAAAAAAAGCAAAACGAATTGAAAAGAAGAACAGTAGATGTGAATTCGCTAGCAGAATTATTATCAAAGCTGAAACTCGAGAAATATGTTGACATATTCGAGAACGAAAACATTGACTTGAATTTATTCTTAGAACTAACAGATGCTGACCTCTTGGATATTGGAATTAAGGCAATTATTTTGTAAAATTTTTAAGTCAAATTTATTTGGAAAAGCTATCCCAAAATTACTCATTATAATATTTATCACACTGAAACTTTAAGCTTGTATTCAAGTTTTAATTTCACAATTGTTGCTAATAACTTCAGGCTTTTGGTCCGCGCAAGAAAATGCTTAACGTCATACAACATTACCGAACAGAAGGATCATTTATTCTTTATACAAATGAATCAAAACAAATATCTTCTCACCAAGGTAGAGAAAAGGAACAACTTCAAACTTATTCCCAACAGGTTTTTTGTTTCTAAATCAGAAATGAAGCCAAAATGTATAAAATAAAGATCAGGATAGTATTGCCTGCTAGGCTACTATTCAAATACCTATAGTTAGATCCTATATTTTTTATTAGAAGTAAAGAATCGAAGAATTATTATTTTACTGATACTTATTTACTTCCTTGACCAAAACAGTAAATGGACATAATGTCTTTGAAAACATTTACGGCATTTGAGTCATATTTGTTAATCGAATAATTAAGTCATACAAATTAATTATTATAAAATTTTCCATAAAAGTATTAAATAGTAAACTTTAAACAAATTATTGCTGTTAGTAAACATTAAAAATTCATTTTTTCCTGAAGTTTTTTTACATTTTTATTTTTTTATTTTTATCCATACTTGCATAAAAATTAAATAGTTAATTTACTGGACAGATAACACAAGAACTAATGGAATGTCAACAGCAGTTAGCAGAATGCCAGCAAGAACTTAAACAAGCCCGAAGTATACTAAAAGAGCATCGAGTAACGCTCAATTCCATTTCAGAAGCATGCCGTCATTCACGTAAAATAGCTTACGCCATGTTAGAAGTAAGCAAATTCTGTTATCTTTTTGTCAGTTCGTAAATATCAATTACCTTGAATTTTTATAATTAAGACAATTTTTTGAATCTACATTCAAATTTTTACTTATCAGTTGTTAATAATTTTCTAAATTCTCAAAAATATCCAATTTTTTAACTGTATGATTTTATCGTTTTTTGTAGATAGAGTTAACTTTTACTATAGCAACTGTATACGTTGCAATGTAACAATTAATACATGAATTCAATAATGATTTGTAAAGCTTGCATGCAATTATTACAAATTTTTTTCTTGGCATGACAATAGTAGTAATAATTAATAATAATAATAATAACAACAACAAAATAATAATAATAATAATAAATAATAATAATAATAATTAGAAGAAAAAAATTTTAAATGAATATAAAGGAACAAAATTTATTGTATGGTATTAGTAATAAAAGGCTATCTTATTAACTCGAAACTTTCTAACCCAATAATTCTCGCTTATATCAGGAAATTCGACAATCCGAAGGTTCAGAAAGTACTCTACAGAAAGATTTACTTGCTGTGATCAAAGACATGGACAATATTCTTATGAAAATGCTTGAACTTCCGCAATAGTAATCCCGACAGAATCTATTTTCCTGTTCCAATAAGCTTTTCAAATTGCTGCTTAATTTTTGATACTTAAGCTTTCACAACTTACAGATAATGAATATCAATGTAAATGAGGAAAATAAAACAAATAACAATTAAATAAGCATTAAAGGTCAACCAGGAACTTTTAATTTCTGCTGACCTTGATGTATACTCATAGTTGTTTGACCGTGCCTGCATTTCACTGTATTATATCTGTAAGAAAAGCACGCAAAACAAGGCCAAGCTTTTATTTCCCATAGCTTCAGAAGATTCTTTTAAATTTTGTTTCCCTTTCTTAGATGCTTCTCAGTCTTATAGGCTATGAGTTAGTCAATGAAACACCTTCTACCTTATCTCGCCTGATTTTGTGTCCGTATCTCAAAAAATTATCACCAAGAACTTGACACTATTCTCAAAATTCAATTGTTCACTCATAACGCTTTCTTTCCTTGTTTTGCATACGCAAAAATATCATCGATATTACTTTGTGCACAGTAAGACTTCTGCTTTTTAGGAAAACTAACTTTATTATAACCTTAATTTTATTTTATATTTCATTTCATCTCTATCCAAGTGTATTGGTAATCGTTCATGCGTCTGGCAGCTTAAGCATAACTTTATTTTGCTATAACTTTTAAAAGGTACAGCAATAAGACGTTAGTTTTACACCACTATTTATGTTACAAACAAAAAACCAACTAATTACCCTTGCTTTTTCATTTCAATCACTATCTTCTTTAGGTAAAATACTTCTAATTTTCAGCAAGTTAATCTTGTATTTGAATTGACTTGTTATTATATTTGTCAATGAAATAAAGTGCGTAACTCTTATGAAAGAAAAATAACCTACTCAATGTCCAAGGTAAATAAAATAACCTTCAACATTGAAACCCGTTAGCAAAGTCACTTCACCACAGGAAAGTCACTTCACCACAGAAAAAAACATTATTACATAATTAAACAGATACTTGTATAAATATTAATACAAAAATATTGTGTCGAAATTATTTTTCATGATATTGCTAGCCCACTGTTGCATTTCAGCTCCTGTACTAATTGTAGAACTTCGTAGCACGAGTAGTAAGAATCTTTTATTTACTTTTTTCATAACGATCCACCAATCGCTATCAAATTTAGTTGTTGCTTCTCCAAAATCTTCTTTTTCCATAAATTCATCAAACATATCACAAACAGATCTGCAAAGCATATACTGATGAGAAATATTAGCAATGTAAAATAAAGAAAAAGACTAATAGTGTTTATAACACTTTATGTGTATTTTTATTCAGTAACTTTGAAATTTATATTGACTGCATATTTGATAGTTAAAACAACAAAGGAATGAAATCTCACAATTTTAACCTGTCACTTACTTGTATATTGATGATGGTATCGAGGGCAAATTTGTGTTACAGTCAGAATTGTCTACGAAATTGGTCTTTATACTCATAGTTTCAGGATTGTAGTAAATAAAATAATAGTCTTCATTTTTCTTTACAGAACCATCTAAAGTGCCATATGAATCAGCAATAAGAGAAGCCAGAGCACTCAAGTCCGGTCCAAGATAGTCATCTAATCGTTGTAAAAGTCCATTTTCCATATTTTTCTCGATAAACATACATATTGTTGCATTCAACGCACGATAAACGATCTGATTTCGATATATTTTACGATGTAACTGATAACTGAGGATCGGACACTATATTTTCTGTTACAAGTGAAAACTCAAAAATTCTCAATTATATCTCAAGTTTTCACAGCATTAATTATAACTGCAGTCAGAAAATAGAATTAAAAAACAAGATAGAGCAATTTTTCATCCAAAATATTAATACGGGAGTGCAATTTTCATTGAAAAATTAGTGTGAAACAAGAAAGAAAAGCGATGAATTGAAATAACGAAAAAGTAACCATTTCATAAGGCACGAGTTTTTCTTGATTAATATCATCACACAAATAAACAACTGGTAATTTTGCATTGGCATCATAATGACTGCTAAAAGAAAGATTCGCAGTTGAAGTCATTAGAGACATTAAAAAATGTCCTCGGTGCGTTGATTCTCTGCTGGAAAAAGTGATAACTTTCATCATTTTAATAAAATAAAAAACCATCTACCTAGGAATTAAATAAATTATGAAATATTCTTTTTCTTAGAATTCAAATTCAACAAAAGAAAGTGTTTAGAAATCTTCACAAAGTGTAAATAGCTGCTTATACAGCACATACGTCTAATATTTGGAATCTAATGCAGAAACTTATAAATTGTTTCTGAAAGTCATGAATAAAATTTGAAATCTTAAAACTACTTTGTCAAGATTCTTATCCATTTTTCTTTTCTAAAATTCATGCACCTCAGCACGTATACTAGAAATAATTTCAATGAAAGTTGCTGTCCTGAGTGAAATTGCCTACATAATGTTTTAAAAAATAAATTTTTAAGACCCACGAAAATATGGCTTATCCAGAAAAAGGAAACTGCAAAACCTCGTGTGTCCGTCTGGTCGCAACTCTTGCTTTAACCATCTACATAGAAGATTTTGAGATAGATATCGATAAAGTATAGGTAAATCTGATTTAGAAACAGTGGAGGTTACCAGATGTTCCTGATAAAAAAACATAGTTTTGGAGATTATTGGAAATGCTTCCATCAAATCATCCAAGAGACTCCCAATTCGTAAGTAATTTAGACTATCTACTGATAGATAACTGACACTGGAGAATATGTCAAGTAAGGGCATCTGAAACATGGAATAAATGGGATGACTATGATCAAAATCTAACATCTTATCTAACATATTTCTACTGTGCTTCAAAATCATATAGAAGAACGCATTAGTAAATTATATGTCAAGAGTGTAGCAATCTATAAGACATATTTACATAGGCAAAAATATCAAAGAAAATCTTATTATACAAATGCAAAATTCCTATAAAAAACTAACACGATGAAGATGAAGTTGAGGAAGGTAACGTGAGAAGAAGTATTCCAAACGATCTTTCAAATGTACCACGTCACTAACTATCAGCCGAGAGAATGATCCGAAAAACAACCGGAACATTTTGTAGGCAGTGATTAAAACTGCTTTGATAGCTGATCCACGTAAAATGAAGTCGCTATCAATGCTTATCTCTCTTAAAATTAACAATTATACCACAAACTGAAATCACGAACAAAAAATAAAATAAAATAAAAGTCTTTGATCTTTATAATTTATCTTCAAGATGTGTTACGACTGTCAAAAATGAGGGAAATTCTCGGTATATATTTTTTTCAATAAATTTTTATCACCAAATTTAATTTTTAACTAACTTATATAAACTAAATTGAATCAAATAAATGAAATAAAACTTGAATGATGCACTGTGATGATTTTTTACAACTACGAGTGAAATATTTAAAAAAAAAAGTATGGTATCATTTCCATGCAAAGTGTTTAGTAAGGCAACTAAAACTAAAATTCACAGAAAATATCTGATGGAAATATTTTCCGACTAACATTGGATTACCAAATTCGTTACTTCATTTCTGATCTCATTATTTCAAAGACGATTTAAAGTTCTAAAATAAATCAAGCACTATTAACAGCCGTTTTTTCTTTCAGAAATTATTGAAAAATGGAATTGTAATTACATCGCGTTACACATTCTTATTAAAACAAATATGTAGCACTTCTGCGACAAAATAAATGAATGATAATTTTAACACACAATTTTACCTTGCAAAACCTAGATATAAATATAAACAAATACAGTGAAATATAAAAAATCCAAGTGAAAGTATTCAGCTGGAAATATAATTGCTATAAGTTTAATGAAAAAGTTATAGAGGTAGAAAAAATATTAAAACGTACTTGTTTATGCCACACCCAAGAATGAACTTTCCAGATTCCAATAAGATATAAACATGCAACTGTTTGCCAGTATTAACATAGCGATATGGAAATTCTAATTCTTCTTTTTCTTCAGTGAAATTCTCTGTGAAGTTGACGACAGCCTCTGCAAAGCCAGTCATTTGCGTCTAAAATAAGTTAAAAAGAATTAAGGTTTAAAAAATATATAATACTGAGATTTTTGCACCCAGATAAATATCGCCTACAACAGATACATATCAAATATTTCCAAAACTTTAGAACATGCAATAAGCTCATACTTTAACAAATAATTAAATATAATAACGCTTTGATATATACATAAAATGCTTTGATACATCCATATATCAATATCACTGATAAGAAAATGAATAAATCAACCCATTTTATGATGATTTTGAAGTATTATAATAATAACGACAACAAAAGCAAGATCGAGACATACTTTTCTTTCCAATGTTTCACCATGAGAACTGTTGAAATAAAAGATCCGCTCACTTTCTTTGCCTTCTAAACGTCCTGATTCAGGATGTACAACAAAAACAAAATCTGAATAGTCCATAAAACAAGTACTATTTACTTTCCTTCTTGATTGATATGAATTATTATTAGTCAAAAAGCTTGCCGAAAATGTGGACGGATTCATTTTCTCTGACAACAATTTTCATCCAAAACTAAAATTATTTCATTGATAAAATGTATTCCTAAATTAATACAGCTTCATACCAACATGGTGCGCAGTACTTCTATTTACTGATGTTAAAATTAGAGGTATTCTAATTAGTAGTAATAATAATTAATAATTAGCAGTAATTTATGCACTATTCTAGTAACGAATCATTGATTTGAAGAATTTATAACATTCGAAAATTAAAACAATTAAAGATTGATCACTTTTG